GTCTCTGAGGAATTTATAAGACATGTTGACATGGAGGAAACTTGGTAGAAGTCAGCCGAGTGACTGGGGCGTTTCTTTGGAAGTTGTAGTCAAAGTTTGGATCTTTACTTCTTGGTGCGCGCGTCAAAGGACTTTTTTCATCGTTGACATTTTACCAGAAAGCAGACTAAAAGGCGTAGGTGTTGTTTAAGTTCAGAAATTTCTTGCTTGTTCGTCTTTAAAAGGGTTTGATTTTATCTGAGTTGGTGCCTTTACATGAATGTAGGTTCACGTAGTGTTTGCGGTTAAAAAGATGTGTTCCAAGACATATATTTTAATGACTCGTTTCATCTCCAAAGACCATATTTGTTGCTTCCTGCTTCAACTTTAATGTCTCATGTTAAAATCTAAATATTATTTGTTAACACAAAAGAATTAGCCGATTTTTTAGTACGCTTTTGGACCGTGAAAACAACTGTATAGTGGTTTAGTGAACCCTCTTCCAATTAAATATGTTTTTACTTTGTTTGTATCTTCCTAACATCTCTTGTAGGCCTAAATACTAACCATAAAACATACTATATCAAATGGGTCTTATTCTTCCCTTGACGAAAACATGTTATTGACTCCGTTGACTGAAAAATGTTGCATATTTTTGGGAATATGGTACCAAACTTTACTTTCCGACCTAACCTAACAGGAGTAAACTAGTCCATAGTTGTAGATGGTGGGATTTCGACCCCCGAGGTCCCAGGTTCAAATCCCACCAATAACCAATAGATCTTAATCTAAGTAAATGATGTGGCCATCTAGATATAGTTTGTAATAATGAGTAAAAAGGATCAAGACTATAACCTTTACTATTTTTTTTACATATAGAAACTAAATGTCCCCTGAATCATCCTCTCTTAGTTACGGATCTTTCGTGTTTGAAAGGGTTCGAAGATTTGTAAACTTTTTCAATAAAAATATGTTGAAATGAGTGTTGAAAAAATATTATTGTCTGTTCTAGAAATTTCGGAATAAACAATATTGGCAATAATTAAAATAAAAGGTATTTATAATTACTTGTATTCAGTCAGGGGCATGGGCGTCTATCCATATATTGGTCAACCAGGGGGGGAGCCCCCCTAATTAGGCCCTATGTTAGCCAATTATCACAAATAAAAAAAAAGAATTAAAACTAATAATTTACAATACATAAAACTAAATTTTAGAAACTAAAATGTGCTAAATAAACTATTTTCTACATAAAATATTAACATTTTCCATGCTAGGGCCCCTGAAGCACCCTTTTTACTGGGGGTTATGCCGTACCCTTAAGTTCCCAGCCCTTATCCCTCCATTCAATATTTAAATTCAGGAACATTCAATGGTTTAAGGCCCAACTAACAGCTAACTTATATGATGTTGATTTAAGTTACAAATTGATAATCTATACTAATAAATACAAGATGGTTGTATAAATGCGGTTTTTGTGAATGTTCTTCAACTCTTGAGGGTTCATGACACCAACTTGTGCTGCCACTGAACCTTAAAATATTTTATACATTTTTTTAACAAAATGCATATTGAATAGTGATAAACTGAGTGTGAAAAGTGGCTGTGTGTTACGTCAATAGCCTACTAAGAAAACAGTATACACTCAGCCATACACCCGAGGGTGGATTGATGGTTGGGGGTAAACAACGTTATATCGGTTCCCCCCTCCACTCCCCCTCCCCTCTCAGCCAATCGTCCTGAGATGGATCCCGGTTGTTTTACAAGATGCAATCTCCTACAATCTGCGTCTCTAATAAGCTGGGACTCTGTAACTGTCCTTTATTGGTGCTGATGTAATTTTAGAAATTGAGCGCCTTTATTCCTCCGCTCAACTGTTATTGAAATTTAGTTATTACTTCGAGTTTTCATAAATTTCTTATTTCAGTTAGTACTATAATTTTTTTTCTTAGCACCCTAAAAGATCAGTTTGCGTTTTTGATAAAGAACCAAGCATAAATCACTTTGTTGCCGTAAAATTTATAATTTTATTTGGTTTATTCAGCTATACTAATGAAAGATGCCTTGTACAGGAGAGCATGAAGTTAACGCAGGCGAAATTGTTTTGTTAAAATGAAGCGTTTATCAGGTTTGTAGCTCTTTTAAAGGAGTTTGTTGGTTGAGTTAACAACTTTATCTTACAGTCTCGCGATTTTTTGTTCAACTTCTAATAGAGGGAACTCTTCAATACCAAGAGAGTTCTTTTAACCTGTGGCTCATATATTTTTTTGATTTTAAGAAGATTACATTTATTTAGTGTTTAGCTTGGTACCTTAAGCTCCAAACTACTAAGTCTTGGTATTTACACGTTGCTTAAAGCCATTTGTAATTTGGGGTTGTACTTTTATGGTTCGGTTCAACTACAATAGCAAATTTGGATAACATACTTAACCTTAAAAATAGCAATCAGAATAAATTTGAAATTAGAACACAATGACCAAAATTCAAAGAACTGAACACAGTCATTTAACATTTAACACGGTCATATGAAAAAAAAATTTACGACACAATTATTTTAACGAAAAATCGCTTGAATACCTCAAAGACAAATTGTCACCCATACAACACTCGGCATAAAAAATTCCTTGTTTCAAATAATAATAGATTAAAATTCTATGATATAAACTATCCTATATAGGATTAACATTTTTAATATCTTCATAGTAAAATTAGAAATGAACAAGCAGTAAGAATTTCATGAGAAAGCTAAAACTTTATTTGTTGGAGAAAGCTTTTTATTCCTTGGAAGAGTACTTTTCCACCTCACCTCTTAGCGTTGGTCATAATTGATTTAGTTTTTATTATTTTCATTTACTTTACTGGTTCTAAAGGCTAGTACTCACTAGGACACCCGGTCTCTTATCAACCGGCGATCTGCTTGACGAGCGACCAAATTGCACAAATATCGCCGTGTGTGTACGTGTCTGTCAATTTGGTTGACGGCGATTTGTAGGTTGCCAGGCAACTTTTTGGTTTTCGGACATGTATCGAAAACCTGGGGGTTTCCGATCAACCTTTTTATCGCCGGGCAATCAGATTTCTCAAAAAACTAGAGTGTGTACGCTTCAGTGACCAAGTTGATCAACTAAAGACGGCTAGCGCATGCGCAGTACACTGTTTGTGTCAACTGTCAAAGCTAAACAGTGCTAGTGCTAAACGTAGTCTCTTTCAAGCTAGAGGGGTTTTTCGATTGTTTGAGCTTATTGTAGACTGCTCCAGTCGCTAGATATCGAAGTGTTGCTACGAGTCTTTCTTCGGCGGGGATTGCCTGTCTCAATCGGGTGTCCTTTTTTCCAATATGAGGCGTCACCAATTGCAAAATGTGACGGAAATTGTCGTCTGACATCCTCAAATAATTCTTGTAATCCTGAGGATTATCATCTCGCAAAGTTCGTAGAAGTGCCATGTGGCTGTAACTGTGTCTGCGTCGAAGCCACCCTTTAGCCCAAAATCTTTTAAACAAAGTCTTCCTTCTTCTATGATTACTGCAATTAATTAAAACTATAACTGTGGCAGCAATCTCTTCTTCGTAGGTGGGCATGTTGTCACAACACACAGGTCAGTGCAACTAGAGCTCGAACCAGATTCCAGAACCAAACACAGTCCAACCCATGGTTCAACTTCACCAAATTTTGATTTCCTGCTCGGTTGAAAGTGCTAGGTATCCTAGTGTGTACCCCCCGGCAATAAAACGTTCAATCATCAACTTAGTCGCTCGTCAACCAGGTCGCCGGTTGATAAGCAACCGGGTGTCCTAGTGAGTACTAGCCTTTAGATTTTAATGTTAATAAAGTTCTAAGATGCACATAGTAATTTAAGATAGATTATTTGACACCATTCACTGTACAAAACTATACTTTATTAAGGTTAGTTATCCAAGTATATTCCAAACTTAACTAAAAATATGTACTCCAATTAGTACTGTACTGATTACGTGCTGACTAAATCTGCAAAATATTGAATGAAAGTGCAAATAAAGTCAACTCTAAAATTGAGGGTTTTCACCCCATGCTATTTAGTTACAGCACTGTAAACACAGTTTTTTTACCAACTTTGAACAATAATTTATAAAAATTAAATACAAAACATATTTAAAAACTTCAATTTCTAAATCTAAGAATATAGGCTTTAAACATTGAATCGGTCTAGCCTATCAGCATTGTTACATTGTTTAATAACATAATGTAAAATGTAAAATTGTAACAATTTGTTACATTTAAATTGTTTTGAGAATATGCATTTCATGTATGATCCACCCTCAGATGTATATTTGAGTCTAGGTTGGTCGCCGGGTGTGGGTGTGGGTGGGGGTGGCCTCACATTGATCCTTCCATGAATGACGCTCTTCAGTACAATGCACTTCTCACTACTTTATAATGGACGTGACAGTCCCAAGTTTACCTTACAATCCACCACGGACCACCAATATTGCCATCGGCAACATTTTCCACAAAATATATGATTTCTTTAGATAGGTGAAGGAAAATTAAAATGTTTTGATTAAATCGGTGGGGTTAATGTTAAGTATGATACGTTATTTGGAAGAATTTGGAGAAGGCTTAAGAAAAGTACTTTCCATTCTGCACCCACTTGTTTAAATTAAGCTTAATATACCTATGCCTGTAAAATGTCCTTACTCCTTAGGCTTGTAAACTCCCAGACTCCCTTAATTATTTCCAATTCCTCTGACTTGGAAAGCGAGCTGGTCTAGTGGTAGTGTGTAGGACTTCGGTCTCTGAGGTCCCAATATCAAATCCTGCCAATTCCCAATTGATTTTATCTAAGTGATGCCACAACATCTAGGCCTAGCCTGAAGTAATGTATAAAATGGTTACGGGGAAAATCCTTGTGACTTAAGTCAGTCCCTCCCCTGCCTCTTGAGCTACTTCTCCTCTGAAAATTATTACTGAATCTGCATTCCTCGTATGGAAGTAATTGAAATTTTTAATTTTCATTGGATTCACAATCATATTTGTTTCCAGAGCCTGCTTGGAGAGTTTAACAAAGAACAAGAGGCCTTCATCAAAGAAAAGCAGGGCAAGGGAGGAGAGACGGCTGTTCCACCATGGGTCGGCTACCCCAACCAGGAGTCTCTTAAAGAGGAGTGTCTCGCACTGTCACAGGTACGGCAGAGAGTACCTCACACTCACACTCACACTCACTTATTACTGTCATTAGTTTTAAATACTGAAGTTGAAATGACAAGCTGTAAAAAAAAGGAAAAATAATAGTTGAATCAGCAAATTGCAGAGTCTGTTTCAGTCTACAATTCTATTATTCTCAGTTTGTGTTCCGATGATAGTTGATGAGATAGATTCTATACAGAAATTGGTAATTTTCATCAGCACTCTGTCGGCGGCTCAATACAACTACGTTCATTCTCTTCCTAAAGCTGGCTACTGCTTTACCATGAGAATGGAATGTTAAGTTCTATTCAAAATCAAAGCTATTATTTATGCTAGCACAAGCTGACGAAATTGACAAGTCAGTTGAAGACTTTGTATGACCTGTGCTCAAGTCTGGGATCAAGCTTAGAACTACTCATCAGGTCAATTTACCAGTATTGTGAATGCGGTATACCTTTTATCTTTTTAATTTGAATCAACACCAAATTCATTTCTCGTCCACGCTTGAGGACTTCAATTGCAATCACAATTGCATTACAGATAGCAGATTTTATACCACAGAACATATTGTTAACTGAAGAGCAATGGTAACACTGTTATGTAACATCGAAAATTAAAGTGTTTTCAGAAATATTTGTACTCAGTAACCTCCTAATTAAAGTAGTCAGTGTTACAAACCTGTCTTAGATTCTTCGTGGGCCTAAACTCATTTTCACCTCTAACACAAATTTCTACCATTTTTGGATCCTATTAATACAATTAATTGTCCCTATAGCTAAAATTTTTGGCTTTTTTGTTTGTGATTTCTCGTCTAGGGATTGAATCTTTTCTATCCGTTTTGAAATTTTTAACAAAACAATTTTTGTTTAGGACAAGAGGAATTTCATAAGAAGCCCGCCGGCCGGTGTGGACTTCCCATTTGACTATGAGACATCGTACCCGGTCGCCATGGCAACCATGGCTGAGGACCCCAACTTGGAGACGATGCGATACGAACTAGTCCCTAAAGTGTAAGTAACCTATGTACACTAGATCACCTCTCTTCTTAACACCTAGTCATGGAAATCCATCAACTACATACAGAAACACACATCAAACTCAAAAGATTCAAAACATTATACATAAACAGAATTTCTATGTCAAGGGAAAGATGAAACATTTCAAGCAATCTTTTCTTTGTTTTACGATAATGCAAGTATAGTGAGAGGTTATGTTCAACTTTGCTTGTTTGCTTCTGCATCCTATTTCTGCCTTCTTCTATTGTTTTTCTTTTCAGTTGACACTGCAATTGCAACACTAATTCCTGATACACAAACTAAGACAATCCAAAGACAACAAAACAAAACGCACACAGCAATCCCTACGTATAATGTAGTTTTTACATTTTATGTAGAACATATTTTACATTACACCCCTTTGAAGAATAAATCAAATAAAAATATCACTTCAAAAACAGATTGGACAAAATAATAAATGAACCAAGATACAATTGAATTTAAAACCGTTCACTTTACTTTCAAGTTATTCTCGTGTCATTTTGTGACGGCTTTCAAGAGTTTTAATCAATTAAAAACGTGTCAGTGTGGAATAGATTCATTCAGTCAAAAACAAATCTTTGCACTATGAATAAATTAGTTTTGTTTCACACTTTTGATTGATTTTCAGAGTGGGTTTTTATTTAGTTTGTTTTATATCAGATGTCTAAAACACAACAAGAGATGTTCTTATTAAAATAATCATATTTGGCTGTTGAATTAACCTTATTTTATTTGTGTGTTATAGGTCACAGTGTTAGTTATATTATTGAAGAAAATGCTTTGTATAAAATGTAGATATTAAGAGGCATTTTTTCACCAGTAAACTTGAAACCTGCTTTATCTTACTTCAACTGTCTGTCCGTTCGTTCTACAACTCTGCTCACGTTTTATGACTCATTGTTGACAATATTTAAAAACCTATTTAATCATATTTTACTCTTTTTTACACTGATTTTCACTACTAAACAGCAATTTGTTTTAGATTTTAGAAATTAATCAACATTCACAAATCTATTTTGGTACTTATACTCTTTTTGTGACAGTGCAGCCCCTAACTTTTTTAATCGTGCATTAAAAAAAAGTATTCATTTCAACAAAAGGTTTTTCTTCATAAGATTTATATTTAAAAAATATTCTTACAAATGACTAATTATTCCCTCTGCTGAATTTTCTATGATCATTTATATAGTTTTGTTGGTGTTATTGAATTTATTCGAATCAAATCTTTTTAGACTTGTTGATACTACACATCCAAAATTACATTGCCATTCACAATAAAGGTAGAGTAGTGATTGTTCAATTCCGACCTAAAGATCTATCTAAAAATAGTTCCTATAAACTGTTCCTATAAACTGTTGAAAAAAGATGAAAATGAAAACAAAACCTTCCTAAACTGTGTGGCCAGTTTTAGTTGAAAAATGAAGTAAATTTTACACTGTTTAGGGTTATGTTGTATTGTATAAGCTCATAGGGGATAAACAGGAGCGTAGAATGGTGGCCGTGGTAAGCCTGGCCATTATTTATTTAAGGGAAGCCCAAACCCCACCCTTCATCCGATGTGTAACGAGAAATACTTGGTCGATCCAAACTCTCAATAGAGGAAGTTAAATTGTGTTGCACCGCCATTGCTCAATATTTAGGCGTAACACTTACATTCACTCATCATGAATCCCTAAAGAAAATCTATGTTCGTCTAGATATTTACTAAGCATTATAATAAATCTGTTTTCTGCTCAAAATTATTTTTCAACTTTGTAACAAACTGTAACAAATTTGCTACAGCTTATACATATGGATAGGATTTTTTCAGCTTAAATAAAATGAAAAATATACCTGTGGGAACAGGAAACGGAAAAAAAGAAATCTTCCTATTGAAATTACTTAAGTAGTCCAATGTTCGCCATAGAAGGAAAAATGTTAATAACTTACACTAGATTTAAAACTTTACTGAAGCTGTAAATAATAATAGTGATGATACAGAATTTAGGCCATCTAAATAATTCCTAAACTGATTTTTTTGAAGACTCAATAGTCAAGAAATACATAATAAGGTCTGTAAATATTGACGTTAAGCGCAATAGCTATGATAGAGTATTATTTTTGACAATATGACAATTTAAGTAATCACACCCAGTTTTAAAGTTTTTCTTAGCTTGGATCTAGACAAAAATTTTACAAAAATAATTTGCAGAATATCTGAAGAGAACTTCTGGAGGAACTACTTCTACCGTGTGAGTCTCATCTGTCAGGCGAGTGAACTCAACTCCATGGCGCAAGAGGGCAACACGCTGGATAACCAGAACCGCACATCAGAGCCTGCAGGTAACATGAGCTCTGTAACAGGTACTGACAACAACTAGGTACAAGAGCAACAGTGACTAGAGGGCAACACGCTGGATAACCAGAACCACACATCAGAGCCTGCAGGTAACATGAGCTCTGTAACAGGTACTGACAATAACTAGGTACAAGAGTAACAGTGACTAGAGGGCAACACGCTGGATAACCAGAACCGCACATCAGAGCCTGCAGGTAACATGAGCTCTGTAACAGGTACTGACAACAACTAGGTACAAGAGCAACAGTGACTAGAGGGCAACACGCTGGATAACCAGAACCACACATCAGAGCCTGCAGGTAACATGAGCTCTGTAACAGGTACTGACAACAACTAGGTACAAGAGTAACAGTGACTAGAGGGCAACATGCTGGATAACCAGAACCGCACATCAGAGCCTGCAGGTAACGTGAACTCTGTAACAGGTACTGACAACAACTAGGTACAAGAGTAACAGTGACTAGAGGGCAACACGCTGGATAACCAGAACCGCACATCAGAGCCTGCAGGTAACATGAGCTCTGTAACAGGTACTGACAACAACTAGGTACAAGAGTAACAGTGACTAGAGGGCAACACGCTGGATAACCAGAACCGCACATCAGAGCCTGCAGGTAACATGAGCTCTGTAACAGGTACTGACAACAACTAGGTACAAGAGTAACAGTGACTTGAGGGCAACACGCTGTATAACCAGAACCGCACATCAGAGCCTGCAGGTAACATGAGCTCTGTAACAGGTACTGACAACAACTAGGTACAAGAGTAACAGTGACTAGAGGGCAACACACTGGATAACCAGAACCGCACATCAGAGCCTGCAGGTAACATGAGCTCTGTAACAGGTACTGACAACAACTAGGTACAAGAGTAACAGTGACTAGAGGGCAACACACTGGATAACCAGAACCGCACATCAGAGCCTGCAGGTAACATGAGCTCTGTAACAGGTACTGGCAACAACTAGGTACAAGAGTAACAGTGACTAGAGGGCAACACGCTGGATAACCAGAACCGCACATCAGAGCCTGCAGGTAACATGAGCTCTGTAACAGGTACTGACAACAACTAGGTACAAGAGCAACAGTGACTAGAGGGCAACACGCTGGATAACCAGAACCGCACATCAGAGCCTGCAGGTAACATGAGCTCTGTAACAGGTACTGACAACAACTAGGTACAAGAGTAACAGTGACTAGAGGGCAACACGCTGGATAACCAGAACCGCACATCAGAGCCTGCAGGTAACATGAGCTCTGTAACAGGTACTGGCAACAACTAGGTACAAGAGTAACAGTGACTAGAGGGCAAAACGCTGGTTAACCAGAACCGCACATCAGAGCCTGCAGGTACCATGACCTCTGTAACAGTTACTGACAACAACTAGGTACAAGAGTAACAGTGACTAGAGGGCAAAATGATAGATAACAAGAAAAGGTGTTGATAATAACTGCAGTAGATATAAGAGTAATCTACTAGTTACTAGACATTTCACAACTAGCCACATTTCCTCAAGGTCCAAACTTACGTGTATGGAAGTAAGAGGCTTTGTTTAACAATTAACAGAATTGAAAACTTGTTAATAGAAAACTTAGTAAAAATATCAGAACAATAGCTGTTACTAACTAAACAAACGTTGTCACTTAGACTGTTTTAACGGGTCTGACTTAGGGGAGGTACAAATGAGGCATTTAGTTCAAAATTTCTCCGTGAACAGCGCTGTAGTAGAGAGCACTTTGGCAATGAAGGTTTACTAATCGCAAAAATAGTTCTGTTCATAAAATAAAATTATAAATGCCTCAAATTCAATTTTACTATTTTTTTATTATAAAATTAAACTATCATAACCTAACCGAACTAACCAAACTTGCTGATAAAGAAATAATATAACAAAAGTTTAGTATCGGAAAAATAATTCTGTTTGTTAAATAAAACTAGAAATTGCTCAATTAAAATTTTATAATGACTTAATAATAAAATTAAACTAATAACCAAACCAAACCAACCAAACTTGCTGATAATAAAAAAATCTTGGACAAAAAGTTAATGCTACCAGCGGGATTCGAACACGGGACCTACAGTATATCAGCCCGGCACGCTAACCAATAGACCACCGAGGCCGATGGCTGTTGAACGTTTTGTTACGGTAATGGCGTTCCCTCAGCTAATAAGAAGATCTCAGCTGTCATCGTAGCCTCTTCTATACCTCCCCTGAGTAAATACCCTGTTTTAACTTTCCCGCATACTCTTTTTTTAACTGAATTAAGCCAAGAGGCCTTTCCGAATCATCACATTTATGTTATTTAAAGAAGATATTGTAACATTAAACCTTTTTTGTAAACTAACTTAGAGAATTGTTGGACTGTTGGTTGCAGTGCCCTTTATTCCGATTAGAAGGCTTGAATATTTATTGCATTACAGCTTCTCTGCTTTTACAGTGAGCTCTTCTAAAAGCACTTTGCGACAAAATTGTTCTCTAATTCGAGCCAAATAACTTTCAAACCTTTATCAGGCCATCTTAGTATTTTTTTTTTTCCTATAGGAGATAACTATATTTTGTCTCTTATGAATTGACAAAATTCTCTATTACTCTATGTTATTGATATTGTCATATTTGAAAAATAATCACAATATTAAACTAAGTTTTAAGGATGGACATCTTGGACATGTTACACCTGATATCAGAGTAGGAGAATTACAATTTAGTTAAGGCAAATTTTGCTAGTAGCACTTAACATTTAACTTAAGGGTATTTGACAATAGGAAGATGTCCTATGCTTGCAGACATCAAATGTTAGGATCCAATCTAACATTTATGAAGCTATTAGATATTTGGTTATCCTACACTAGTGAGCTATCCAATTTCAGACCATATGATTACATTAGCAAGATATCCAACATCAATGAGTCATTGAATGCTAGGAAAATATATGATAAATATGTCCGATATCGTAAAGTAATTCATTACAATGAATGTTTACGATGTTCTACGGTTTACCAGGCACATTGTTGCAAATTTCATATTAGGAGGAAGCCATTTATATTTACATTCCTGATATAAGCTTATATTTAATTCAAAAATATAATTACAAAGACGTATAAACCGTCTGTCAACACAGCCAGGGTAGGGGTATTGTCTTTGCGTTGGTCTTTGAGACCCGCGACTAAGCGAAGGTTGCTTTTGTTCTCTCCCCCCTCCCCCCTCCCCCCCACGACTGGTATAGGTAAGTGTGCCCCACAATCACTCTTTTGTTGCTCGTAGAATGGCTGGTTTCTTTGTTTTTTTTTCATGCATTTTATAATACTTTAGTTAGTTAAAAACTTGTTTTTGTAATTTTAATTAAGTTGGTTCCAAACTTATTTTTAGTTTGGTTTATGATTTAAGCTAATGTTTTTCATCAGCTCAATTTTACAAATATTTTAAATTTGATATAAATTTGTATCCAAATAGTAAAGAGACTACACTTAAATTAATCTCTATCTAACTGTACGTTAACAATTAAAACCAGATTTAAAATTAAGTAGAAGTCCTTATGGCCAAAGATAAATGTAATAGAATTTATAAATTTAAACAGAAGCTCCTACCTAAGCATTTTGTTTAACACATAATTAAGTAAACTGGTGGCTTGTAGGGACATATGTCCCTAATAAGCTCAAATGTAAAACAAATTATTGTAATATTTAAACAAACTCAGAATCAAATGATCTATTGTATCAGGATAGATATCCCAGTACAACATATATTTTGTGTAAAAAAATGTTTGTTGTCTTTTTTTGCTTTTGTTTAAATGTTATTTTCAATAAATCATTTGAATGACTCGTAATTACGATTTAAAGTCCTTCTTTTGTTGTTATAAGAACTTAAATTATTAACTTAGACAAATATTTAACTGTTTCTACTTTAACCAATTACATAAAAAAAATGTTTACTACAAAAATGAAGTACAAAATTGTTCTATAGAGCATTTTAACAGGTTTAAAAATTATAGCCCAGTTCATAGTGCATAGATTTTTCAAACCTTAACCACTATTGAGTTATTTGATTACATATTTTTCAAATTCATGATTATTCCTTGTAAAATTAATTAAACTAAAATTTTGATAAAAATATTTTTTTTTAATATACTTTATTTAGTAAGCTTGGTTGTCTATTATTATTTTTTTGTGTTGTTATTTTCCGTTATCACATTAGAGAGGTTGTTGTTGTAGCACCAGCCCCCACCACCGCTCCTGCACCCCCCAGTGAAGCTAAGGCATCGTACAGTCCGGGTCAAGACACCGAGGCGGACAGTCCCAACCAAGAGTTTGTGTCTGATAATTTCCGACCAAGCTCACAAGATCTAGAGGAAGTTAGAGAGGGTATGAAAAAGCTTGGCTTAGACCCGGCTCCAGTCAAAGGTATGGTGTCTTGTTTGTAGCTACTTTACTTCAACAGTGTGTTTTTAAGGTACAAAGTGAGGGTTTTAAATTTAAAAAGGGTAAATCAAAACAAATATTCAAGACGCCAAGCTGGTGGTTGACCATAAATCAATTGTTTACATTTTAAATGTGATTTGTTTAGGTTTGTTTAAGGAATAGTTTATCTGAGAAAATTATAGGCTAATAGATATACTATAAAAAGGTCACAAAAAAAGCTGATATTTTGAGTGGATTGATGAGAAATGTAATGTAATTTATACATTTTTTAAATTGGAGTTATGAGGGCTGTCCAGAAATTATCATACAGTTTGCATCTATACCGCTAGAAATGGAGTTTTTCACAGATTTCATCATTGACTTTCCCTACCGTTTCAACAGCGACTAGACGAGCCTAACACTGTGGTCCTGATCGTCAACATTTGTTCCAATATTTTTCAAGTCAATGCTACATTGTATTACACAGCCCTTCACTCATATAACTTTGCTGTAAACATGACAAATCTTTACTTTTAATTGTTTGTAAAAAAAGTTATCTCAGAGCTCAATTCACAATTGGCGGGATTTGCAATGACAGTGCTAGATTTAATACTCCACCTTAGACAAAGTACAAGAGATTTTTATTATGCACATGATCCCATGCCTGGATGCGTACTGAGTGTATGAATGCTCAGATACTGGGGCGGCGATAGCACCACCCCTAGTGGCGCCAATGGACGTCTGTTACTTTCTGGACGGCCCTTGTACGTTATAGATACAAATTTATTGTGTTCATTGTTGCTATCAAGACCTCAGTTCTTAAACTCTATCCAAGCAAGATAAATGTTTCAATATTCAATATTGTTTTCTCTGTAGTTTGTTTTTTTATTTCTGAAAAGTACAACTTAAGTGAACTGAAACTATCATCAATGACAGCTTCACTTTACAAACTCTGTCTGATTTACAATTTTTAGTGTCAACAAGTCAATTTCTGTGTGAACGTATGTAATCTTGTTGATTCCTGTTCTGTTCCCAGCCTAAGACGTCGGCTCCAGCAGCCTGCCCGCCCTCGTCTCGCAATATAGTTATTCCTTACTACATTCCCTATTCGTTCACCATAATCGATTAGCAGCTACATACATTAGGTTAGAACGGATTGTCTAAAGCTATTCCGCTAGTAGTTTGCTTCCTCTATACCACACTTTTGTTTGCCTCCGATAATTTTGTGCTCGGCACGATTTCGGTTTTAGTTTGTCCCATGACAAACTTAGTGAGAGTACATAAGTCGTGTAAGATAATGTTAAACGATCGGTCGCCCCGATCCTCGCCCCACGCCCTTCCGCACGTTTTGCATGCGTTTTGTTTTGTTTTTCCCCACCCTCTCATTCCTGCGCTTGTCCCCAGAAGAGGAGTGGGAGAAGGAACTGGAAGCGGAACTGCAAGATTTTGAGGTCGTAGCCAACGGAGACAAGCGGGACGCCCAGTGGGAGAGTCAAATCGAAGAGATGCTCGATGCTGAAGATCTCAAGTAATGAGCAACATATCTAGCGTTGGTTAGGTTCATGAGTAAGCTTATATGCAGTAGTTAAAAATAAATAGTGATCTATTTTGTTTTATTACGAGTTGTATTGTTCATTGATAAGCAAAGATTGAGGTCAGTTCTCTGATAGTGTATAAAGGAGTACTCCTTCTGGTCTAGTTTACTTTGTTTGTACTATACCTTGTAAATCTACCGTCAGTTGCAAATGTCTTAGTTTATTTCAAAGTTAGTTGTTAGGTGGAATGCAAGTCATTACGATATATTAACGGCTTAATTGGTATCGTTAGCTGTGTCGCAACTCGGGCTGTGAGATTGTTAGTGCGGAATGTCGGGTGGTGAGAACAAAACTCTGGTTAAGCAATAAACGGTTTTGTATGTTTACATTGATTGATATTCAGAGCTGTTTTGTCGACATTTCTCAACTCGATTAAAACGACGACACGTCAAAACCGATTCTAATTTTTGTACTGTATTTGTTGAATCGCATGTATACAAATGAAAAAATTAAGTATTTTTTACGAATAAATGAGTATTTATGAGTAATTTTGATCGAAAATGAGTAGTGCCCTTCAACTCATATTCGAGAAAAATATATTGAAAATTTTACTGTTGTTATTTGGTGTATTTGTGAGGGACGGTTGTTGTAAGGCCTACTTGTAGGATCGTAGCTGTACATAAGCGATGTGTGAGCGTCGCGTCATATCATATACCATACTAAGATGTTGTACCATAAGCATTTCCGTTCACCAGTCCGTTGCCACTCGGTAGCCTAACAGCCATATAATTCCATAAGAATAACAGAATACACAAAAGAGAGCATAGTCTCCATTTATTTCCATGGAGGATTTTCGTCCTCCTTGTTGATTCTGTTTTCCTTGTAATATTTTTCAATCACTCCAAATTCTCAAATCCTAAACACCCCCCGTTCTAATTTGTTTAACACCTAGTTCACCAATCATATGGTAAGTTACATATTCGTCGGCACTGAGTGGCCCTGCGCTTGAGTGTGTAAATAGTCTGTGGTGTTCTCTAAGCCATCTGTGTCTATTTCCCCGATCGCCGGGTGTTTGCGGACGTAGCATAGACTGTCTAAACTCTCTCTGTGTCGTTTACGCCTTTATCAGTAACCGTAACGTTTTGAATATCCTTACTGTAAAATATTTCTTCTGGTTATGCACCAGTCTTTCATTTTTCAATGTACACTGGCTGTTGAAAAAGTAACCATTTTGTTTTTGGTGGTCTATAGTTTTTTCCTGTTTTGTTAGACCTTGACTAAAGCTACATAACCGTTATTATTGGAGAAAAAATGCATTTTGTTTTATTACAAACATTGTTGTTAACCTCGATTGTACATAAGTGACTGCTTTGCCGAGGCCTGAAGACAATACAGATTTGACTGATTGTTTCTGTGGATGTTTAATCTATTGACAATTGAACGTTTTATTACTTAACTCGTTCTTCACATTCCATTTTTTTGTTATAATTTTGCAATTTTACTTTTATTCGTTTTTGTTTATGTTTTTTTATATTCCTAACCCCTTTTTATGTTTTGTTTCAGATCCACTAAATGAACAATTATAAGTGTTTGTTGGCTTCTTTGTGTACATTCCCAGTTATCAAGCTCTTGGTTTGATGAAAAGATTTTTAAATTATTTGTTTTACCTTGTTATTAGACTGAAAGTATCCTTTAAAAACAAATTTCAAGCAATCTAGACTTACTACAGCTTTATAAAGTTTACCTTTTAAGTTGCATTTTTAATTTTTTTACCATATCAGGAAATATTTACATTTTTTATTTATTTTTTGTAAAAGAGTCTTTTGATCATAAGTGTTATGGACTTTGACTTGTTAAATGTTGTGGTTTAGAATCCCAGTGTCATTAATAATTCGTTTTATTCATGCCTTTACTATTCTGGCTCTCTTTTCTTTGCTTGGTACTTTCCACGCACAGATTATAATTACGCAAGTGCAATAATAAATTAGGCTGCCAGTCTCTCCCTAAATGTTTTTGGTATGACTAAAATGTTCAATCTTTGCTCTAGGAACAATAGTTAATACTTTTTATTTATCATCATTTCCTTGTATTTAGTTTAAAATTTGTAAATAATTACAAAAATTACAAAATTTAATAATGAAGGAACATTTATTTTGCAGTTTTTCAAAATTAATTGTTATAATACCCCCAAAAATTATTATATTGAATTGAATATAAGACTTATTTCATTGATAATTGAAGAGAGTTAGAAATCATTAACATTTACCGACTTTTGTGGAAGGTCAGTGTGGTTTGTGCAGCGTAAATTCTTACGAGTTGTGAATATTAAATTGTGAATATTGGTCTTGTATATAACTTGAGTAGACTTATGTAGCCGTTATTCTTCCAATTGCTTCTAGTTTGTTGTTTTCAGTCTAGAAACTTGTTAGCACTGTGTAAATATATAATTTTACCGACGTTTATTCTGTTTTTATTGAAGTTTAAGTTATCGAACATACTGTGATTTATTTTTTAATCCCCTTTCAAAAATGTTACACCACAGTAATGTTTCAAGATATTTCCTATAAGTATGTTTGTGTCAATTGTTAATGTAAATATTATTGATTAATTTTAAATGAAATATTATTGTTACGGAATTAGAGATGAGTGTTTCAGTAGACAGAAGCCTCATACGGTTCTTCTTTAATACCAAATATTTAGCAATGTATAACAATAACACAGTTATAACGAGTGAAATGATCAGAAGGTATAATTGACTTCAATATAGTTATGTTGTTACTATATGTATGTAATAGAAAATAATAAAATATATTACATGTAACAAGTTCTTCATTCTATTTTTTTTATACTCCTTTTCACTGTAGAGTTTTTATTTATTGACAAATACAGTATCAACTTTTATTCAGCCATTCAGAATTTTGCCAAATACAAGGATATCAAGTTCATTGTTTAGCGTGTAGTTTATGTTAGTTTGTCTACATCAGAGACAAAGTTTAAAAATAGACAAATGAAAACACAAAAAAGATAGATGAATCTGAAAGGAAAAATACAATCTTAAAATGCAAGAAGCAAGACTATTTGATGTGACATATCAAAAAGAGAATTACAGTTTTCAAACATATATTTTTAAAAGTGTGAACCAGAGTGTTCATTTGCCAACTGAAGGTTATGTCCAATGCAATGTCAAATACTATAAATACTCCCAGATTGTGGGATAGGCAGTTTTCATACTCCATCATCCTAAGTGAGCTGAAGACTTGTAAGGTATGTTTTGCCATAAAGTAGAAGAGTAGATAAAACATTTTCACTCTGGTTTGTGTAGAGGGTGTTTTCTTGTGTACTATTTTTGTTTGTTTGTTACCAAACACAAATCTTCTCCAAAATAAGAGAGAAACATTAGTTGGCATGAGCACACTCAAGCATTCCAACATGAAACACACATGCGATTGCTTCATATCATTTTATGTATGAAAAAAACATAAATTAATTCTTTTGATTTAACATTTTTATGTTTTTTCTCCATTGAATATGTGTGTTTAATTTTGTTGGAATAAAGATATAAGTCATCATTCATTCATTTACTCAGATAACAAAAAATGTTGGCAGCAAATTTTTATTTTTAATTTATGAAGTTTACAGAAAATTTGCTTTTGCAGACAAACTAATTTCCTAAAAACCATTTCAAATATTACAGAGTGGAGTAAGGTGTTAAGTTTGAATAATTTTTGATAACTGACCATGAATGCTCTGGCAAATTTGGCTCCTTCCAAAACTGTCTTTTAGTTCTTCTTTGAATCCTTTTTCCCAGTTGTTTAGCAGCCTTTGCATTGGGGTCTTGGGGCTTGTTCCTCCAATCCTAACCATGACTTTCATCTGGAACAGATAAGACCAATATCAATGGATCTAAATAGCAGAAAGAATCAAACAAGTACAGTACAGACACAGAACAAATCAATTAACTAACAACTAAAAATACCCCCACCGGCAGTACACCTGCAGACTAGGCAATTTTCAACTTGACTGATTACATTTTTACTAAAATATTCCCACAAATAACACATATTCCCAATTTAAATAACATTAGATTTAACTAGTGCTTAGGTTTGCTGCTACGGGGAAGTGCTGACCATACTTCAATAGATGAAATAATTTTGACCAATAACATAACATATATCCATAAACAAGTAAACTACAACAGTTTTTATTTTCTTCATAAAAATAACATTGGAATGATTACACTCTTTTTTTCTCCGTAACTGTTAGGCATACAACAGCACTTCAATATACTAAATTACTTCTTTTTTAAGCTATACAAAATAGTTTAGAAAGAAATTGCAAAATTCTTTGTTTTTAGGGTCAAAAATGGGGAAACCCCATTTTTAGCCCATAAAACCCACAAAAAACCTAGTTTCCATGGTCCGATCATGCTGGTTCGCGTTTTTCTTCATTAAATAAGTGTGTACAATTTTGTAAATACTTTGTTAAAAAAAGATATAATTAATTAATTCATTCATATATATTAAATGTCTGCTGCACCAAAACAGGCCGTAGATTTTACAAAAGGATGAAGGTATATGTTTTATGTATGCTTGCAGTCAATAATGATTATGTTGCCTGTAGAATGATGTTCTTGAGCCACCTATTAAATCTGATATAATTGATAATGTTGATTTTATTGAGATCCATGATTAACGAAAGAAGAGATCCAGGACTCTATCGTATTTTTTTTATTGATAAGACACACAATCAGCCTTTAAATTCATTCAGTTCGGCACAAGTAAAGACAAATATTCCCCTACAAACAAGGAATGGGAAGGTGAGTTCGAATATTTTCAGGCCCATACTTAATTTTGCTTTTCATGACAGAATGGACTATGGACTTGCATCGGGTTTTCAGAAAAGTGTAAAATCTCAAGAGTTTAGTAAATAATTTGGTCAGTCGCGTTACGCTAGGGGTAGACTTTCATATCGGTTGTCAATGAATAACATCGGAATGACAATATCGAGTGATAGATCGATTATTTGGTACATCGATTAGTTCATTCGATATATCGTCTGAATAGGTTAACCTAATCATCCAAACGATATATCGAATGAAATAACGGAATATAAAATATAGATTTGATATTTTCATTCGGTTAAAACGATGAACGATAAAACAATATTTTATCGTTTGATTAGTTTATTCACGGCATAAAACTATTTACAGGCTGACTTCATTATTACAACTTACAAACCCATTGAAAACGATTCAACACAATTTGGATATTTAATTTATTGGTTTTATGCACTTGGTTGTTTGAAACACACAAGATTCGTCCTAACTAAACCATATGCCAGAGGCAGCTCAATGATTATTACAACAGTTATTTATCCACAGTGGTGGATTCAGAGCATACATGATATATTTTTTTACTGCATGTAATACAGTAGTACATACACATTGCGTAAAATAATTTGTCACACTAACTTTACAAAAAGAAATGGTATAAAACTGCCATTTTGGAGACGTTTTTGATAGAATTAGAATTTTGATAGCGTTGGTAGATTGGATTAGTTGAGATTGAGAAAAAACTAGATGTTTAAAACCAAAGATTAGTTAAAACTAAACTTAAGACAAAAAGGCCCACGGAACACTGGGGCCTCATGACATTTAAACAATGCCACCATAATTGTGGCATTTTGAAGAAAAAAAGAAAAACAATACTACTAACTAACCTCAAAGTCAAAATAAAAATAAACCAAAAACCAATCCTTACTTAATACTAACTAACTAGTCCGAGTCCAGTTCGACTTCGATTAGATAGTAAAGCTTCTTATACTGACTTCTTTGACCAAAAACGTTTAACTAAGAAGACGACTTGTTAAATTAAACAAAATGGTATGCTAAAAAAGCTATAAATTGTTTACAAAATCGAGTAACATCAATAACAAACAAATATGTTACCTGTGCGAGTGTCGACTTTTAGTGATGCCGGTTTGGGAGAACCAGAACAAGATGCAAATTCAGCCTTAACAGAATTAGATAAAGGTAGATTTTAGAATATGTTGACAAATTATTTATGTATCGAATCATTAACCTCCATTTAAGAATAAGTTCGTAAACACTTTTCTAATTTGTAAAACTACCAAGTAAACCTAACCTAGAATAGGCTATCATGAAAGACTTAACAATTTTAATCAGTTTAACTTACAAAAGATATCTGATGTTCACAACTATTGTACTAGATCTAAAGACAATCTGTCTACACTAAGGCATAAGTATACAGCCACTCAAAATAGTTTTGAGTACCAAGGTGTTAAAATGTACAATTTTTTGCCTGCATCCATCAAAAACCTGTGTGTTTTAAAATTCAAACATGTTTTAAAAACTACTCTAACCCAGGCTTGCCTGTATAAACATGAAGAGTATTTTGGTTTACAGTTTTAGATATTTTAGTTGCCAGAGCCATCTTGATTGTTTTGTTTTTCTTTTGACGATTGTCATAAACTTTGTACATAGTTTTAACGACAATAAATCATTTCATTTCATTTCATACACCCACAAGATTTTCTTTAACCCTCCGAGTGTCCATAGTTTAGGCCTTAATGTCCGCCTATTTTTGGCGCATTTGCAAGGTTTTATTAAAACGGATCTGAGAAGCTTAAAACAATGTTAATTCTACTGTTCTATATACCATTTTGTTTGGAAAATCATGGGCTTCAATATTATACATAAAACATAAGGAACATTTGTTTCAAAAAATTTTTTTAGGTAAAAAAATATTTTGGAAAATTTTCCAAAAAAAAAATAAGTTCGCGCTCAATGAAATTGTATAAATTATAGGCCTATAAATATTTGAAAATAGCCACTTTGTTCTAAATTTTATGAGGATTACAAATATATAATAATATAAGGAAGTAGATTTGCAAATAAATAAGTTATGGACAAAAAACAGATTTCAGTACATAGCGTTTAGCTAAGAATGCATAGCCTAACCATAGCTAGGAATCTGGCTGATAATTTACATCAATATCACTACCTACTTCTTCAGGATCATCAACCAGCCCTTCAAAATCACTTAAATCTTCTTATAATGCACCACGTATATCACTACTTTTGATTTTTAACACTAAAACAATGATAAACATAATAAAACACATCAGTCATCGGTCCGAGGGTAACCTAGCTGTTTACAAATACGCACGTCAGCTGTCTGCTACAATTACGATCGGCTCGGAGAACATAAAGCGCTTAGAGACAGACCTCTGGAGAAAGCTTAGAATCTAACGAAAAGAACAATACCTAACTCGATCCAGTTCAATCCAATTCAGTCAGTCATAGAGCCTTCGCCGTAAACGATGTTCGTGCGTCGAAAAATCGACGCGTGACACTACACAAAGTGTGTCGTGTGTCGATTTTTCGACGAGTGACGCTCGGAGGGTTAACTTATAGTGTTGTGTTGCTAGCTAAGTAAGTTAGTTAGCTTCTCGAATTTCAGTGCAAGGTGGATGGGGTCGATTTCCGGGGATGTTCCCAAAAGTGTTTGTGTAGTCCTACCTTCCAATTCTGCCTTATTTAACAGTGCCACATGTGTAATATGACAGTAAAAAACCTGGGCCTTTAATATGTTTCTAAGTCTATCTACTGTAATACTTTTTCATTGGCATTTTAATGTATTAGAGTATTAAGTAATGATGATTACATTGGAAATACCCTAAACCTTGTCAGCCTAGGCTACAGTACCTTAAACTAATGCCATTCAACCTGCTATTAGAGGTGAGTAACTTCGGAACGAACTACTCCAAAAGAACTACTCCGACTCCGGAACGACAAGTCCAACT